AGCTATAAGGCCTGGGGGGAATAGCCACAAAGTTTGGAAAGAACACCAGGAAGACTGAAGATCTCTGGACTTGGACGATTATTCTTGGATTAGCAGGTCCCAAGTCCCACCTGTCACTTAACGTTCCATCCTTATCTCCTGTTGTCCCATATGAGGATGGGGCAAAAGCTGGAGGGAAGGACGATATGATTTGGGTATGGCTGAGGTGTGACCCCCTAGAAGCTGATGTGTCGGGAGTGTAGTGATGGTAAGAAGTGCTGAGACCTTAATAAAGCGAACTGGGTCACTGAAGGCTGTCTTCAGAGGACCTTAAAGTGGTTTCCTCAAGCCCCCAATTGGTTCTTGCGAGAGGTTGTTATGAAAGGCAAGGCTAGCCTCGGCCCCTGGCTGGTATCTCCTCGGTATATCTCTCTGTCTCACAAGCACAACCATGATGCGATCCACCTGTGAACACCCGGGGCCCTTGCCAGAGGCTAAACATAAATCCGCTGCCTGATCTCTGACTTACTGCTCTGAAACATGAGCTTAAACCAACAACCTTACTTTAGAAAGTTTCCAGCCTCACCCGTTTCCTTACAGTACCTGAAAATCGACTAATCAACAGGCTTTCTGGGTGTTCTTAACTCACAATGTCCTGGGACAAGAAACAGGTTGTTGTCTTGAGGCAAAGCCAGAGCTCTGGTGAACTTGGATTGACCACTGTTGGTTTGTGGAGAGAGGTGGTAAGGACAGGGACGTGAGGATGTGAGGTGCAGGGTGAAGGTAGAGGTCAGGGCGGGGGCACCGATCCCACCGCAGGTCCTCAGAGTCTGCTTGAGCAAACACTGTTTCCTGCTAGTGTATTAATTAGCCTTCTGATAGGAAAACTCATCACTCTCTCCCACCACCTTAGAACCCCCTCTGGGTCCTTGTCTGCCAAACTGACAAGCTCCTCACTTGGGGTTACGTCCTTCAATACAAACTAAACATCTCTCCAGCTTCAGGACCTGCCCTCCCGTGCTCTGGCCGCCCACCCTGTGTGTGTCACAGTTTTAAAGGATTTATTATTGGTTTTAATCACATACACGAGTGGGATCTTTGTGGGGACACCGTCACGTGGCTGCTGGTGCCCCCCGGAGGCCAGAGGCAGCGGCTCTGGAATTACAGGTGGCTGAGGGCCGTCTGACGTGAGGAATTTAACTCCACAACAGTATACCCTCTTAACGTTACCCTGAGCCATCTTCCCGGCTCCCACGTTTTTTTCACATTTTGCTGTTCCCACACATTTCAAACTGGGTGCCAGGAATTCCCTCCGCGGCATGACAAATCCTCTCATTAATGGGATTACGACGCAATCACCTGCCTGAAGGCGTTAGTCACCCTCTCTACAGTTTTTCTAAAAGTTTGCTCAGACTTCCACTAGATCTCGTCAAACACCTTTGACGTCTACGCCCCTGTGGAATATGGGCTTGTTGAGAGGAGAAAACGCGCTCCGTGTGTCTATAGAGCCCCAGTGCCTAGGCTTAGGAGTCCGGTGAATGCTTATGGTTGGGTGGATGGCTTGATTATTAGGACGATGCTCTTGGAATCTGGGAGAAACCTGTCCTTCCGACAAAGCAGCAGGAAAAACAGGCAAGGAGGCGAATTGGTGAGATGGGCTGGAAAGGAAGCTGTGGATTCAGACAGCCACGATCGAGTGGGTGCCTGTGCCTGATCTGTTGTGCCCCTCTGTTCAAGGAAAACAGTCCCAGGCACCAACCCACCGGGGCGTCTCACACCCACTCCTCCAAGAAGGCTTTCTTCAGCACTCCTGCTCTGGCTCACGTCTGAATCGCCAAGTTGTTCATTTGTTTGTTTG